GAGCTGGTATGAAGAATCACTTGGTAATTTGCTTAGTACACAAAAGTGCCATTGAGTCATTTGTGCAATCCATTGAACTATTACTTTTTTAAAACTGTAATTTTTAGTTTTAAAAAGCAATGTTATTGTTTATAGACAGAAAAATCAGGTCTCCCAGGTATTTGACAGAGTTTAAACCTAAATTCATGGAGACAGACCAAGAGTTAAGCCAAATCACAGCCATTCATTCAATTAGGAAAAAAGAGAACGGTATATATCAGATGATCTGTAGAAAGGTCAGTGTTCAAAGCACACAGGAAATAGCCTGGATTTTCTTTTTTAACTTTACTGTCCAAATTTTCTTTTCCTCACAATTAAATCATTTTAGCATACTATAATTCTGAGCATCTATTAGAGTCATAATAGATAAATTCTAATCTGTTCATTGAAAGTTAGCATTGTCAAAAACTTCACAGAAGTTTTGTGAGCTCCATGTCATACTAGCATTTCAGTGTATGACGGCATCGTCTTAGTCAAGTTACCTAGTGTCTCCAGGTATTAATTTTCCCGTTTATTTACATGTAGATAATAGAATGCCTATTTCTCAAGGTCATCATGAAGATTAAAAATTTAATACCTAGAAATTGATGCAGCACTACCTGGAATATAAGTACTTGGCAAAAACAATATTCTTTAAAAGTCATTATCATTAACAAACACCTCATAAAACATTGATGTTTTCATTAAAAATTTTAATTTAAAATAACCAGTGGTCAAAATCACTGAACAATTGCTATTTAAAAAGTAATCTATTTTCACAATGGAAGATTACAAAATTATTTTAAATCATTATCCCTAAGCAAATCAATTACTTTAACAGATATAAATTAGACATCTTGAATATCAAATTAGATTATCAAAGAATAAAATATTCCCCATTCTAAATCACTAAATCAGGATTTGTTTTGTTTTAAAAGAAGGTTAAAACAAAGTTCATCTGTATGACAAAAGAGTTCAAGAGTGTAAGGGTATTAACAGATGTTACAAAGCCCACATAAACAAGGCCCACATCTATTTGTTTAAAAAATAAGCTATATTTAAATAGTTTGGAACCATCACATATATTTGAAAATATAATTACAATGTTTAAAGGGCCTAAGCAACTTTTTAAACTTAGACTACCGCCTAAAGAATGTAATTCCAAACAATTCTGATCAAAATTTAAAATTGAGATTTATGTTAGGCAACTATTACAAATTTTTCAAAGTAACACAATTGATTTTGCTTGAAAATAAATGATAATATATGCATACTACTCCAGATGATTTTTCCCTAGTTATCTTAATTAGTGAAGTTCTGCCATATGAGTATTCTCTTGTTAAAACCATGAGAAACTCTGGCATTTAGGTATGCAGTAACACTTGGGATACTGCCCAGGCTTAAAAAAAAAAGTAAAGTACATGCTACACAAACATTTTATGAAGAATACTTCATTTAACTAAAGAGAAAGGAAAAATTGTACTAAATGAACTTTTCTAAATAAACTTTAGCAAAATGTTTATGAAAGGTGCTTTTAGGTCTTTCAATAGTTTACTGTTTATTGCTATTAATGTTCACAGGTGAAAAAGAATCTATCTATCAAGAACACTGCTATTTTAACTTCGAGAATATTGACTTTGTTGATAAAATGAATTATAATTTGCTCAATTAAATTATAAAATTTTAATGATAGTTTTTTTAAATTTTAAATTATTTTGACAAAAGGATGAAAGTCCAGGATCAGCTGGAATTATATTGAACTGGTCAGAATCACTGTTTGGAAAAGATTGACATGAGTTTACAAGATTATGGTCATTTTATTGAATTTAACTAAAAGCAATTAACAGCACCACAGCAAAATGTGTGACTCTGAATATTTATGTGTTATTCAGAACCTTATTTTTTAAACAATAATTAAAATGGGGTTTTAATGGATAACTAAAATGATGTGCTATTCAGTCAACCTAAAAAGAAGATAAATAAAATTTATTAAAATTACCATGAAGCAATGAGAAATTAGTATATTTACGTTCACCTAAAAGAAACAATGTAGTCAGTCTCTCATGAATATTTCTTCCCTATTTTGCAGTGAGTAAATTTGTGTGAGGATGTATGTTTGCAAGGCTATATAAAAATATTTGTTTTCTTAACTCTTTTATCTCCTTATCATAAGATCATAGACTTTCTATCATAATAGTTAAGTGTCATTAACTATACATCATATTTAACTTACAAGATCTCAATGACATGAGGAAACACAAGACAGCATCTTTTTCAACATCATATGAGTTGGAAGTATGACCTTTTTATTGTCTATTTGGAGATTAAGTATGGTTTCACAAGATATATACAGATACCCATTCGACAAGGGATGAACTGACAAGGTAAATTTTACACATCAATTTGGTTACACCTGGATGCCAGATATTTGGTCAAACATTATTCTGAATGTTTCTATAAAAGTATGTTTAGAAGTCATTAGCATTTAAAATAGTAAACTTCAAGTTAAGTTCATCATCCTCCAATAATGTGGTAGAGAAGTAGCCAGTCATTTGAAAGCCCAAGTAGAAAAAACAAACAAAGAAAACAAAACAAAAAAACCACTGACCTCCCAGTGAAAAAAAGAAAGTCTGCAGCAGACTGCTTCAGACACAACGAAACCAATTTTTCCATAGTCTCCAACCTCTCGCCTTACCTAGAGCATTTGCAGCATGCCAGCCTCCACAATCATGTGATCCAACTTCCTGAAATAAATCTCTTTCGCCCTGAATATACATACATCTATCTTTGTATTTCTCTGGCAAATCTTGACTAACACATAGCTCTGTAATTAAGAGCTTTCATTCTAAATCCAGATTGCCTAGGTAAACTCCATGGGACTGTCCATTAGTTGGGAGATTTGGACAAATGACATACACTTGTGACCCTCAATGTAGTCATCCATAAAAAGGGATATCACCCTTTACTTCACAGGATTATTTTCAGAATTAAATAGCTTTTATAAACAGAAAATATTTATAAAAAGCATGCTCTGTATGATGACTGTTGTTCTAAGTGTTCAATGAATATTAAGTATTATTTCCAAGATTCTAACGTAGCTATAAAACTTGCACTAAGTCTTGAAAACAGAGGATAAACAGAATTTTTAGAAATTACAAGGTTGTTTGGAAATCATTTTTGGAGAGGGGAAAAAATATTCAAGATGAGGGTAAATTCAACCCACAGGTTTTCAAATTTTGATTGCTTAAATGGAAAAGCAATAATTAGCAATTGAAAACAACTGAAGTAAAAGCATGTGTTGCCTTATACCATAGCTGTGTTCTTAAACAGACGCCTGCTAATAAAATTACTAAATAATATATCACATGACACCATCTCAGAAATGCTTTTACATGTGATTTCTAACTGTTGGTAGCTCACCACGTTGCCTCTGCTTTTGTATTCTGTACTTGACCTTTGCATATTTCTGCTGATTTATTTCATCCTTTCTATTCACCAGCCTCTTATGCCTTTCCCTATAAACTCACTCAAGTACACATTATTTTTCCTCTTCTTTATTGTGCTTTGATTTTACCAGAATAAAGCCTAGATGAATATTTATATCATTTAGCCTTGATAAAAACTTTGTGTTTTTCACAAAAAGGAAAAATTATAAAGGAACAAAATTACAGAAATTGCTACTTGAAAACGGAATACCTAATATATACCAAAAACTATGCAGAAACATAAAAATGATGAATGAAAAATGTAGACATAACATTTCTTAAATATTGTCAAGTATTTAATAGAAGTAATAACACTTAATTTTCTGTAATATACTTTACACTCAACGTTTATACAGATCATTCTATTTTAACTTCTTAACAAGCCTATAATGACAGAAATCAGAGTTTACTAATGTCAGCAATAACGGTATTTTGAGCTAAATATACTTCACTTTGGGCAACCATGTTTGTGAGCAGCATCCCTGGCCTTCACCCATTAAAAACCAAAGGTTCTCTTATCCCAGCCAACTGTGACAACCAAGATCTCCAGATATTGTTGAATGTTCCTGAGGAACAATAGTTTAGAAACACAAGCAGAAAGAAACAGAATCTTCTTTTTTACATATTTAAAATATGGCATTCAGAAAAATTAAAAGATGTTCCAAAATATGTTTTTATCTTAATGACCTACAAACTTGAAACTTAGAGGACATCATCATGAATGTTTTGGGTAAAATACTAATCATGTTTAATAACTGTGATTTTGTATTATAACTTTTATATCTCAGACATTTCTGTTCTCACTTTCTTCACAGTTTTTTCAATAATTTTTTCAATAATAATTTTCTTCCCACAAAATAAAAATATGCCATTGTAAATTCTAATTTAGAAATGGGCATTATGAAATTGTCTAGTCATAAAAATACATAATACAAGCCTCCATTATTTTCAAAGCACTTTCTGTCTTTACTTGAGTAAGACGTATGAAACAAGTCATCACTCATTTTAGTTAGGCAGCCAATATGCCATTCAGTCTTTATGATATGCCTCTATCGTACACGTGTAAAACACTGAAAACATTTTCTTTTCATGGAGGCATCACAGGAGAGTTAGTCAAATATTAAATGTTAAGGGTAGAGTTAAAGACACTGTGATTTAACCAAAAATATTTCCAGTGATCTTGAGCTTCTGTTGAAACTTCATATGCATGCTCAGTGTTTTAACAGCATGCAATCTTATTCAGTATAAATATATAGCAATTCTTCACAATAACATCTTTCTTCAAGTCTTAAAAGTGTACTGAAGTCTCATATTGATTCTAAACACAGTTTACATAATTAGAAAACATTGTATCTAAATGGTATTTCACCTCACACTGCTTCTCAACAAAAGAAGGAAAACGGAATTGTCTCATGCAATGAATTGATGTCTGCATGCAGGCTGATAAGATGGAAAGGGAGTATTTGACTGTCAGAGGATCAGGGTTACAGACCATACCTTCCATGACATACACCAGTGACCCCACATCTCCTTCCTTGATGATGCAGCTGTCTTTGCCATATTCCACTGGATACATACAATCCACAATCTCCTGAATCTGTGACAGTTCCAAGTTCTTCATAAAGTCATTGTCCAGGATAGCTTCCTTTATAAGATCCTTGGACCTATGGTAAGAGAGAAAAGAGTTACCAACACATCTGACAAGCTCTTTTATAAGTTTGTGAGGCTTTGCAAAACCATGCAATGCTCTGGCAAGCTACAAATACATTTTCTTTTCTTGCTAGGAATCCAATAATTTTCTAAAAGACTTGAAAACAAGTTAGTTCCATGGCAGCAATAAAAACACATAGAAATTTTCTTTTACGCAAAGTATCATTTAATGAATAAATGACCAACCAACCACTGAAGTTCACATGATTTCACTGGTTTAGATATTTTTTGGCCACAGAGATTATGAGAAAACCAATGGACAAGCATTTTTTAAAAATTTATTTTAAAGAGGGTAAAACAAACCATAACAAAACAGAGCAAAGCAGATCAGAAGAAAACAATGTAAGTGACACAGATTTCAAAGCAAGACGACAGGAGATCAACATTGGCTACCACAATGTCTTTTGTTTTCTTCTAAATAGTTCGGGCAAACATTTTTAACCAAAGTTTATAAGTTGGTTTAAGAATGCGTACTAACAAAATACACAAAATTTATAGGAAAAACTATTTTCACTACTTTATGTATTAGAAAAATCAGACATGTATTTTACAATACACAATTATAGTAAAAACAGAATTTTGAAACTTTTTTTGCATGTCTCTTTCCCTAAGCTTTATGCTCCACACAGACAAGGATCATTTTTAAGTTGTTCTCTACTGTATGCCCAGTTTACACGATCATAAACCTCACAGGATGCGTGCCCAAGAAACAGATAAAAGTAGTTAAGAGTTGGATTTCTAATTAGTTGATTGAAATAAATGTGACAATTCTTTATCTACATCTTATGCTTCTTTAGAGAATATTTCCTCAAGCATCTTAATTTGAAGCAACTAGCCAGGAAAAAAAAAAAAAAAAAAAAAAAACTCTGAGCAAGATGTTTGAAATGCAACATAATTTAGATATAACACTTGAAAGGCTTATGTCCTAATGTAAAATATTGTATGCATTTTTGGTGATGGTCTAACATGCCAGAAGGCCAAAGCAGGAAGTCTTGCCCTGAGGGCCACCCCCTCCTTCTTCCCCTTTGTCCCAAATTGTCACTTTCCTGTTTTCCTGCAAAGCCAATTGCAATCAATCCCTCACACTTCATCAATGCCTGCCCCATGTGCTACAGAGGTCAAATAACCTGCTGCCCCTCTGTATCCGGGTTTGGCCAAACCCCTGTGGGTTGTGGGCTCTTCTCTGAGTCCTCAAATAAATGGCCACTTTCACTCTCTTCTTTCTTCTGCTTTTCTATTGCATCAGAAACTCTAACAACATTAAATATAGGAAGTCAGTAGGAAACACTTGTATAAATTCTGTAATTGGAATCCAGTGGATAACAGGAAGACTTTTCAGGATTTAAAACATGATGATAATTTCATTTATTGGGATAAGAAATTTCAAATTACTCTGCAAGTTCACAAAAATCAAAGTAGAAGAGATATTAAGAAATATTTTACTCAAGAGGAGCAAAATTAGAACACATTAGAGAAGTCTGAAACTGAATTCCATAAAAACAAAAACCTTAGTAACATAGAGAAGAAGCAATGTGTTTGGAATTGTATATTAAAGTCTTAATTTTAAAAATTGAACACAAGTTATGCTTTCTCCACATTAATTCAGCAAGTGCCTTTAGGGAAATGATGTACAGCAGAGACCATTCTCTTAAACATTGTCCTCTCTCCCCATTTCCAGCTCAGAAAGCTCAGTCCAACTGGCCTAATCTTTATGCATTATGATATAATAATTTGGATATAAAAAAGAAAATGATGCATATAAAAAATCACAATTTAAAATGTATTACTGTGTTAGGGCCTGGAAATATAGCTCAGTGACACAGCACCTGTCTGGCAAGCATGAGGTCCTAAATTTGAATTCTGGTATCCCAAAAAACTTATTACTCTAAATAATTTTGCTAAAATAGACTATCATACACTTCAATTAAAATTATATTGTTGCTCTTCTGGCTTTTGCTTTAGCTGTTTGCAGCAGCCATGAATGGCTACCCTGCAATGCCATGCTACCTTGGAGCCAACTAAATAAGGACTGAAACTCCCAAGAACTGTAAGAAATGAACCTTCCCCCCCAAAAAATGGTGGACTGCTAGGAAGCTGGATAGAGAACCTCTCCCGGGAAAACAGCCCAGACGCTAGAATCTGACAACATGGAGAGGGCCAGACAATTGGAGAATGATTCTCATTAACCCAGGAGGAAACCAAAAGAAAAAAAAATTAGGAAGAGGAAGGAAAAGCATGAGTGGAGGGCTGAAGCTCAACACGCTCACTGAGACCCCTTTCATGCTGTGCTGGGCACAAGGAGTCGGATTATTCAAGGTTGCACCCAAGCCACAGCTGCTGATAATGGGAGTTGGTGAGTCCCAGGCCCTTGGTGGGAGGATGTGGCACAGTGTGGAGTGGAACCAAGGTAGAGAGCTTTATTGGCTCTCCGTGAGTGCTGGAAATTGGGTCCCACGGCATGGGAGGTTGAGTAGAAGACATCCTGGAGTAGGGCAGAGCCCGGCACTGTGGTGGCATCAGTCAACCACCCCTGGCCCAGAAAGGGGTGGTGGGAGCAGCTTGGGCTGAACCACTCTACTGGTCGGGAACCAATAGTCAGGGATGAAATTGTTCCAACCCTGTGATGTCCGCCACAGCAGTGTAAAGTACTGAAGGCACTTTCAGGTTGACTGCCTCAGAAGAGAGGGGCCAACCCACAGCGTCCCTGTGCACCACCTCAGATATCAGCACACTGGAGAAAGCACCAAGCCCCTAGCCAGCACACTTTATAAAAACTATAAATAATACAGAGACGGCCTGAGACCTCCTCCACACACCTGTCTGAAAGAAACCAGAAACATAACAAGAGCAAAAGATAAGACAAAACCTCCAGCCACTGATCCTGGGAAAATAAGCCCAGGAGAGATAAATACAGAAGACAACCAGTCCAATAATCATGCAATGCTAGCCACAACATCAGCAGACATAAGGAAATACATTCATGACTTTATAGATGAACTTAAAACTGAAATTCTAACCCAAGAGAGACAAGAAATAAAAAGGTTAATTAAAGAAATGCTAAGCCCCTCTCAAGAAAACACAGAGGGAAGAAGGGAAGAACCCAGAAAAAGAAGAGAAAACTTTGGTGAAGAATATAAACAAAATCTAGACTACATGAAACAGATCCAAAGAGACTACCAGGAAACCAAAATGCCTTGACAGAAACAAAAATTAGCCTTTTGAAACTTGAAGAGAGATTTACAATGTGTGACTGTGAAAGAAAAGACCTATTAAAAATAACAAGGAACCAAGAAATAACAATTCAAAGGCTATAATACGACACGAGGATCTATAACTTAAGAATAAAAACATAAGTGAAGAAGCAGGAGTAACCACAAACGAATTACAAAGACTATTCACAGAAGTAATTAAGGAAAACTTCCCAAGCATAGGAAAAAGAAATAATATCCAGATAAATGAGACATACAGAACTTCAGCCAACTACAAACAAAACAGATCTATACCCAGACATATAATAATAAAGATTCCAGAAATCCACCACAAGAACAGAATATTAAACGCAGGCAGAGAAAAGAAGCAGATCACCTGCAGAGGACAAATCATCAGAATAACAACAGACTTATCAACACAAACTATTAAATCGAAAGGAGCTCGAGGTGGGGGGGGGGAAATAGTCCAAGCCCTGAAAGAAAATAACCTCCAACCAAGATTAATATACCCTGAAAACCTCTCTCAAAATTAATGAAGAAACAAGATGTTTCCAAGACAAAGAGGAACTGTGGGAGTTCATGGCCACCAACCACCACCCTACAGAAAATACTGAAGGATATTCTAGAGAGAGAGAGAAAAAAAATACCAGGATTCCAGCAACAGTGGCAGAGAGGCCTCAATGAACAAGGAGGACAGTGGAATGAAGGAGAAAAATGGACAAATAATAGCAGAAAAATAAAACAGAGTTGAGGCAGAGAAGGTGGGCTATAATTTTTAACATAGATAGCCTAGATACACTAACAAAAAGAAACACAGGCAGAGTAGGAGGCAGGATCCACTGAGATGCTCTGAATAGAAAATATACTCAACCTGAAAGAAGGTTAATAAGCTGAAAGTCAAAGATGAGAAAACAAAGCTCTAAGTGACAGGGAACCAGAGAGAAATAGGAACGACTCATCCAGCAGCCACAGATAGGTTGGAAAGTTATAACACTTTTGTGCAGTGTAGAACTACAAAGCCAGAAGAAAGGAAAACCTTGTGGCTTTAGTAAGTAAAAGAGTACAGCTCAAGACCAAGCTCAGGGGTAAAAAGGTTCAACACCATTCAGATAGATAATGGGTTGCCCCTTAATCTAAAAACTAAAGGAGTTAGTAGGACCCAAATATACAAAGCATCCTGAGAAAGGGAAAGGTGAGGAGCTGCCTAAAATAGGAAGGCAGAAGACATTGTTAATAGTGTATCAGGATTTAAAAGCCACAGTAATCTCATCATTCTGCTTAGTTTGATTTTATTTTCTTGAGGTCAGTCTACTCATACTAGATTTGAGGGCACAGATAGCTATCCCCAAAATAGCAAGTTAATATGGTAACTATCCTTAATTTCCTATTAACTTAAACTGAACCCTGTATTACTTACATTGTCTTATTATAACTGATCTTATTTGAAGCTAGTTTGTTAAACTGCCGTTTCGCGTTGACTGATTTTATTTGAGTTTGGTATGCTTAATAACATCGAGTCTAAGAGTAGAGGCAACCACTCTGAAGATGACAAGATGTAATAATATACCCATTCCGATTTGATTATTAACTGCTTTTGAAGTCCTACAATATCTCCAAAGTAGTGTTTTTATTAAAATGGCTATGTAATTCTATGTTCAATTATTATATTTCTGATGATGTGGACAACTCTATTGAAAATAACAAGAGAAAGCATAATAACTACTGTAGATCACCAAATAATGTGG